ACAGACCTCAGTTTGACCCACACACACACACACACACACACACACACACAGGTCACACACACACACACACTCTCTCCATGCCTGTAACAGGAGACGGGATGCCTGAATCGAACATTCCCTGCAGGGAAGCGGGTACGAGGACTGAGGCGTACAGCGGTTTGGGGGTGGGAAGAGGTGATTTACACATCCAGCCGTGCAGAGAAGCTTCCTGCACTCAAAAATAGCACAAACACACACGATGCCGGAGTCATATATCCGTTACCATGACGACCCGTGAGGATGTGAGTGAGTGACTGGGCGTTTCTGGTTGGTTTATTAATGTTTGGTGATCAGAGCTCGTTATGTGGAGGAAATGGGCTGCTAGTGGACAAAAACACATCGCTAATGCTCTCTGCCGGAGCTGGGAGGATGCCGTCCACACAGACATGCTCGAATTAGTGGAAATTATACCAGTGCATTATGGGAAAAGGCAGCCTGAAACTTCTCTTGTTTCATTACCCAATATCTATAAACCTAAAACTAAAGATGCCTTTCTGTCTTTGCTCTGTCTTTGAGTTTACTCTGGAAGTGACTAGTCACATGGTCAAAGCTGGATGCATTCTCATAATGTTTATATACTATCGTTCAATCAGCTGTAATTAGGATACCGTAAAAATAGTGAAAAAAGTTCAAATAATTACATAAATATGTATAATTATTTATTAATTTGTAATTATTATTTTTAAACAATTTAGGGAATATTTGATTTATTAATTTAAAATAATCCATGAAGATTTAATATATTTATGTATTTATTATTTTACAGAGCATTTTTTAAAATTTCATTATTACTTTATATAGACATACAATTAGAAACAAAAGATAATTAACTTTATTAATTTAGAATAAACTATGAAATACTTTTATTTATTTATTAATTTGGAATAATTTATAGAATCCTTCCGTTTATTTAGAATGATTCATTAAATTTTTATGCACGTATTTAATGTATTCATTTTTAATGTAAAATAATTTACAGATCATATCTTAAATTGAGCATAATATGAAATTTGAAAGTATCACATAGAATTTCGTCTTTGCCATAATTATAACAATTTCATAATTTTAACTTTTTATCTCATAATTATGACTTACTATGTCACAATTTTGGCTTTTAATCTTACAATTTAGATTTTTTTTTAAACAGCATAATTTTGATTTAGCATCTTGTAATTTATAACCATAATTTTTACTTTTCATTTCATAATTTTGTCATAATTACAACTTATTGATCTTATGATTTCATCATATATGAAAATACTTTTCTGTATTTATTTTGAATATTCTGAATATTTTTTTCCATTCATTTATTAGATTTCTTAAATTAACACTAATAATTTTAATATAGCTTTAAACAGATATGCAAGTACATACAGTTAGAAACAAAAGATATGTGTGAGTAGATGATGAGCTGGTAGGCCAGAGACAGAAATATTACAAGCTGGTGATGTAACGGTCATTTAAATACATAATGAATAATATTCAATGCAATCAAACAGAAATGTTGACCGTTATGGGAACGATGTAGTATTGATCCACGGTACACAGTGATAGTAAAAGTACAAAGCAAGGTTTTTTGCAGATACAGTTTATATATTTTTTAATTTAGCATAAATTATGAAATACTATTATTTATTAGAATAATATATAATATATTACATTGTTAGAATATTTCCATTTATTTAGAAAGCATATTTAGAATTATTTAGAATAATGTCAGAAATTGAGCATTATAATTTCAATATTGTTTTAAATGGACATACATACATTTAGAAACAAAAGATAATTAACTTTATTAATTTAGAATAAACTATGAAATACTTTTATTTATTTATTAATTTGGAATAATTTATAGAATCCTTCCGTTTATTTAGAATGATTCATTAAATTTTTATGCACGTATTTAATGTATTCATTTTTAATGTAAAATAATTTACAGATCATATCTTAAATTGAGCATAATATGAAATTTGAAAGTATCACATAGAATTTCGTCTTTGCCATAATTATAACAATTTCATAATTTTAACTTTTTATCTCATAATTATGACTTACTATGTCACAATTTTGGCTTTTAATCTTACAATTTAGATTTTTTTTTAAACAGCATAATTTTGATTTAGCATCTTGTAATTTATAACCATAATTTTTACTTTTCATTTCATAATTTTGTCATAATTACAACTTATTGATCTTATGATTTCATCATATATGAAAATACTTTTCTGTATTTATTTTGAATATTCTGAATATTTTTTTCCATTCATTTATTAGATTTCTTAAATTAACACTAATAATTTTAATATAGCTTTAAACAGATATGCAAGTACATACAGTTAGAAACAAAAGATATGTGTGAGTAGATGATGAGCTGGTAGGCCAGAGACAGAAATATTACAAGCTGGTGATGTAACGGTCATTTAAATACATAATGAATAATATTCAATGCAATCAAACAGAAATGTTGACCGTTATGGGAACGATGTAGTATTGAGCCACGGTACACAGTGATAGTAAAAGTACAAAGCAAGGTTTTTTGCAGATACAGTAAAAACAAAAGCAGGAGCCTCCTGTCAGACGTCAATGATCTGTCCTGATGCAGTCTGTTTCTCTCGCCATCACCAACAAAACAACCCCAACTCCTCCTCACATCCACCCATCCGTCCCCAGCTGACCCCACGCCACACAAACACAGCACACAGCCAGTCAAAACAGCACAGCGACTGTCCAAACGTTAAGCACTGCTGTCAGATCAGTGACAAGGGACGCTGAACGTGTAGACTAAATACTAGTCTTGCTTAGCTAGGCTTTGGACTATCAGCAAGTCTAGTCCACTTATTCTGACCAAGAACCACTGTTCTTGAACCAGAGATAGTCTAAGTGACATGTGAAGCTACCAACAAAAAGCACAATCCTTCCCCAAAATTATTATTGTAATGCAAACCATTAAAAAATGCAAATAATACAATGAAAGTATATATATATATATATATATA